ATCTACCACGTCTTGGAACTGTTCCATATGTTTATGATTCTGTTGTTTAGTGTGTGATTCCCCTATGATGTCCCACATTAGTGTATGAGCGGGTGTGGGCCAATCTCATATAGTTAGGATGTCTAGGTCGGTGGATACTGCTGATGTTAAAAATATGTGGCGGCTCTTTGCAATTATACTTATGTGTCAATATTTTGTAGGTTTTCGATAAAAGTGGAATTTTGAACAATTATTAGTAAATAATATTTGTATTTAATATTAATATATCAAACGTAGGTATTTAAACTATAATAAATGCAAAAAAAAAGAAAAAGAAGATCTGCATTATTTAAATAATCATTGTAAACCAAAAAATTAAGAAACATAAATAAATAAAAACATTTTTCGCTTTTCAAATAAGTCAACATACCTATTTTTATTTTTTTTTATTAACATTTATTTTAATGAGACTGAGAATTAATTGCGTAAACAAATTTAAAACATTTTTCGTTTTATTCAAGATTAATTTTTATACAAGTTTTATTTAGAAATTCCAGACGTTAAGTTATTTAGACGGCTGTATGGTGTACCGTGCAATACCTAATTTGTGCCAATAGACTAACAACCTAAAATATGTATAAATATTTTTATGTATGTACATACTTGTATTTATTTATGTAAATTTATGTTAAATAAAATTACAAAATATTTTTTTAATATCTTTCATTGAATTCGAATTCCATCGATCCATAACACGCGAGATAATTTAATTTTATAATTTATTCGGTGCCAAATTTACCGAAATCGTCTGCCAAGCGTGGCAACTATGCCAAATACTGGGCAACTATGCCTAATGGGGCAATCAGCGGAGGAGGCCCGTGTGAATCCCCAGCGGACTTTTAACTGTTACATCGAGCCAGTTTAATCCATTTATTATTGTTTGTGGAAAAGCTTTATCAAATCTTATTTCTTTATACACCTATTTAAAACGAATATCAAAATTATGGAGTGTAGAAGTAAGGAGTACAGACTGTGTATTAAAAAGTGTTCATAAAAACCTTTAAATAAGGGTGGCGCCACTATAGCTACGGGGTAAATTTAAAAAAAACGGAAGATATTAATGGGATAGACGACTTTTTCGAGGTTATATTTACTAAATAAAATTATTTTAGATTTTAGAGCTACTGATCAGTTTAGCAGCACACTTAAACCGGCGACAACTGCTAAGTTCATTTCATCGCAGTAGCTACTCCAGCGCTGTTGTGGAGAGTTTTTGAACTGTTATTTACTGCTAACAGATGACCACTTTTTCAACTATTCTACTATGGGAGTTGGTACTCCTTACTTCTACACTCCAATATCAAAATGATTCCTAATTTATGTTATATAGAGTAGTGTTATATTTCATTATGACTGCATACAATTAAATAGAGTGTAAAGCCTTGTATTCATTAGAGGGACAAAATTGAGAGACACGTCGCGAGCAGTCGCAGCACATTTACGAACGACAGTCCGAGGACAATGTGAAGGACGAACATTTCGCTCGTCCAAGTAGTTGTCAAGACCTCGACCGAGAAGGTAGTGTTATTAAGTGCAGCTTACATTATTCTTAGAAGAATCATTCCAAAACGTAAAGATGGTGGGTGCGGGAATATTTACTACAAAGGGAAAGGTCGTTAGACTTGGTAAGCAGTCTTCGAATGTGTCGTGAAGCCGGACTAACTATGACATTGGGACGTCAAACATCTCAGTCCCCCCCTGTGACCATGGTTGCTGTAAAGCACCCGAAACGTCGGGAATTAAAAATAAGTAAAAGTAGTGAAATAAACGCGATAAAATCCGTAAATTTAGTTTTATTCAATGTGTAGTGTTCGCGTAAATTTAAGAAATCATTATCGATGAGTTTCGTTAGACCACACCATTGCCAATTTGCGAATGTTTCACAAATGCTGCCCTTAAGAGGAAATGCGGGCCGAGGGACTTAAAAATTAAAATTAAAAAGAATTTTGGTATTTGAATTTATCGGTGACCCTCTGCGGGCGCGAGTGCGATAAACATAACCGCGGATTCGACTGAATAGCCTAAGTAAAAAGGCATAATTCGAGGTTTGGCTCCCTACCATTTCCTCCTACAATATTGGACCAATTTAAAAGATATTTCACAAACTGAATAAGAAGAACAAATGTCGAATTTGAGCACAAGTTCTGTGTTGACAGCGGTCTAAATAGGCAATTTTTAGCATTTTGTAAGGGTTCCAGTACTTATAAAGATAATGTATCATCAAAAAGGAAAACATAGGGACCTATAAGAGGTTTATATTTATTTTACTGTAAAAATCATTGGTATATATGGTCATAAACCAGAAAAAAAATCAGGCGAGAGCTTTTGTACGAAGAAAAGACCATCCGCGTTTCCTCTTAAGGGTAGTGTTCTATGCGGGCGACTGTCGAGATCGAATGAAACAAAGTCGCGCATGGTCAATCGTCTGGGAGAGTCGACAAGCGACAAGTCGCGCGAAACGTAAATGCTGGATGTTGCCCGCGTATCGGGCGACAAGTTCGCGTTACAAATGTCTCCAAATTAAAATGGAGCTTTAAAATAAAGGGGGTAACATTTTTCGGAGCCCGTAAAAGTTCACTACTGAACCTGTGCCTCTCCCACTGTAAGGTGGCTTTATCATAGTCACCGCAGTGATAGATTCATGGAGTATAGAGGTAAGGAGGACAATCTCCCATTGGCGAATAGTTGAAAATGTGTCCATCTGTAAGTAAATAACAGTTCAAAAACTCTCAACAACAGCGCTTGAGTAGCTAGAGGGTATGAAATGAATTTAGCAGTTGTCGACGGAGTGAAGTGTGCTTCTTGTTGAGGGTAATTTTGAAAATAAACATTTTGAAAACAATGAAATAATTAATTATTATAAAAAGAATTATGGTGAAATTCTGTGCAATAAAAAATTAAAAAGTTCTTTAAACTTTTCCCACTCTAGCTACAATGGCGCCACCCTTATTTAGCGCTTTTCTACTGACACTTTTTTATACAGAGTTTGTTCTCTTTATCTCTACACTCCATAGATAGATTATTTTACATGACAATGTTAGGGTAGTATTTAAAAAGAATAGATTTTTCAACTTTACTCAACAGTCAACACTAGGTGAATCTACGGTGCTACAAATTATTTACGAACTGTTATCTCAATTTACTATCCAAATATTGTTATTTTTTACTATAGTTAGTGATCTATAAGATATTGAACCACCGATAAGTACGTGAGGGTAATATGGTTATCCGGTTAATATGGTCGCTTTCTTATAACTCAAGAACTACAGCTTTGTTTGCATAGATAGTTTTGTGGTATGATAGCCATTTGTCGGTAAAACAAATAATAAAGGGTGAAAAAAGCGATGCTTTATCGCCACCATTTTGGCAGCTGATATTACAGTAAATATTTTAGTCGATTTCAGTATGGTGTAATATAGTTAGTTTTTTTAAGTAGATTTTTCGAAGTGTTCCTAATTATTGCCAAAGGTTGTTTGCAATTTTTTTCTTAATATATTAGTTATTGTAAACGACTTTGTGTTTTTGTCTCTCTCCTACTCCTAGTTTTTTTTTTATAGGGTGGCAAAGCTTAAGGTGAGCATATTGAGTATACCCCCACGTACTTTAATAAGTGTGGTCATTCTATTAATTTTTTTATTTAAAATCACAGTCGTAAAATTTAGTTGACACAGATTAAATACCCGACTGGAACAGATCACCTAATTTCACAACAGATCACATTAAAAACTTAATCTAAATTAAAAAAAAAAGTCATTTCTAAATCCAGAACCATCTTTTAAAAATTAAGCAAATAAAACAAAATTAGCAATATAATTGTATATATTCCGCCTTTACTAGTGAATTAATTTAATATCAAACTCTTTATTGGTTGTAAGTGACGATATAAATAAGATATTTTGTGTGGTAAATGCCCATCTTTAAGAGTTGCAATGTCACCCACAGTCTAATATGTGTTCAGTAATGTCAAATGGCTGTAAGTAATCAACATTTGTCGGTTATGATGAAGCTGAGGAAGCTGAAGTACCTCATTATGAAACAATACTGGATAAAAAAAAGTGACGTTTGGCAAATAAAATGTTTATCGACGTATAAAAATAAATGAAATGTACTTATTCACTACGTTGCCACCACGCCGGCACTAAACATAGTTATTATATACTCTTTGGGCGGCACCATAAAGCCCGGTTTACATTTTGAGAAGTGACAAGTGCAATTGACAAATGACATGTGCTTAGTAGTAAGTAGTAAGTGAGAATAAAATGCGCACTAAGCAATTGTCGATTGTTACTTGTCAGCTGTCACTCGCACTTGTTACTTCTCATAATGTAAACCGAGCCTCATTGTAAGAAGAACACGCACTTACGCATACATAGGTATCTAAAACTACGTTGTTGATTGCAATCTTGCAAAGGATTTTGGATGCATATGTGTGCCAATGTCATCATATTTTTGTTCATATCTACTACAAATTTCGAAGAAAATTTGTGATAAACGAAATTTAAATTTTTACTTTGAAGAATAATATATTTAATTTATTCGTTCCGTGATTTTGAAATTTAACGTGCGTTACATCGAGCACGGGAAGGTTTAGATGAGAGAGTGCCTCTGTGATAGCAAACACTAGAAGCCTTAAGATTTCTCCTGTGTAGTCAATAGCTTCTACCATTTGTAACACTACACAAGTTATAAGCGATTTTGAAATTTTGAATAAAGGTAGGATCTTCCTACTATCAATAAAAGTACGGTCATTTGCAGAACTTCATACATAACATAAAGTCTAAAATTGCAGGGTTATTATTAACTCACTCATTAATAACATAATCTATCATTAATAATATAATTTTTAACACAACAGCTTTAATTTCAAAATAAATCTATTTCTACAATGTAGTAACTGTGACCGACACATAACATTTTTTCTGCTTATTCTATATCGACTATTGCATATCCATTAACTAAAATTACCAGTCAAGAGGATTCTGCAGGGCTTGTTTCAGAGGAATGCTGTTCTCACTGTAGAATTGCATGAACCACGCTCTAAAGGCTCGTATAGTTTTGTCAGTTTTCACATAAGATGGAGAGTTCACATAGCGTTTGCTGTTCCAAATGGCCACGTCGCGTTTAAACTGAAAATCAATACAATTAAAATCAATGAATGATATTTTAAACTAAAAGAATAGAAAAGAATAATAATTTTATTCAATTTCTAACTGACTTGTAACAGTAAATTCCTATTGAAAGAATTTTTTTCACTTTTACTACTGGTACGAAAAAAATTTGTCCTGGAGAGCACTAGCAAGGAACCTAGTTAGATTTGAGTAGTGTTGAATAGTAGTGGTCTGAAATTAGTGCCTTGGGGTAATTCATAACAAGTATTTAAAGTATGAGTTTGTAGAGTTAAAAAGGAATCTAGGCGTTATCATATGTTTTAACAATGCGCTAGGACTTCTCTTCTGCCTCCCTACTTAACTACCACCCTAGAATATACAGGAGGTACTTGTAAAGAGCAACGGCGGGGCCCTTGCAGGGCAGTGGGAGACGCGACCGTGTGCTAGCGCACTTCGCATATTTTTCTATATCTATACACGCAAGAGGATGCCAGTGTATTGTGAAGTATTTTCTTAATTCTAAGTGCCGTTTTGTTATCGGAGAGATGCGGCTGCTGCTGTTTCATTTTCCCTCTGTCGCCTCTTACGACACCCTCGGGATGATATGGAGTAGTGGATATTCTTACAATACCACTACACGGTTCATAAAACTGCGGTTGCCAACCCGCTTGGCAATTATGCCATAATTCTCCCATGAGGCAATATATGAGGGAAGCCTATGTTAAGCAGTGGACTTTTATAGGATGAAACTGTTGGATGGACGGAAGTGCCGTTTTCATGAAATAAACTTTTGTTTTTGTTATAAAATGTGCTTTTTTACTAATAGGTATTATGTACTCGTACATAATATCTCGATGACTATGAGTGTAATAGTAAGTATTCAAAATATTTTATTTCCAGTTTCGTGACAACCCTAGTTAGTATATTTGTGCGGGACAGCGTAACAATACTAGGCATGTTGATTAACTTAAAATAAAATCGATCTCCGATTTGATTCGAATCGAACATGCTAGAATCTATTCTTGATTAAATCGATCATTAAAATATCGACTTTTGCTTAATAATTTAATACCAGTGTTTCTTACAAAATACCAACGTCAAATAGCAGCTTAAGGCTGCTGTGCTACGTATGTTGAGTATTGACAATCGGAGTACGTTTTTACTGGAAAAGAGGCATTCGATCTTAGTTCTCAGGGGTAATAACGCATCTGCATGTTGATTATATTAATGGAGGATAAATGAAGAGTATGTGTATAAATCGCAACGCCTACGTACCATCAAGTGGACTGTGTTTGTCAGTTCATAAATATTAATTTGTGGCGCTTCGGTTGTTTTTGCAACAATAGCAAAAAAATTAAAATACCGCAGCCAGTTTAGGAACTTTATTGCTAGTTCTTGAATAAGTTCGATTCAAGATGTTTTTGGACCGATTCATCGGATCGATATAATGTTCCAAATCGATCTGAAAAGTCGGCCATTTTACTCTAAATAATTGATGTTTTGATTAATCGATTTCAGATCGACATGCCTAATTAACGCATGTAGCGGAATTGCCTGACATCAAAGGTGTTTCTAAACTAATATACTGTCTTTAAAGTGTAGTACTGCCACAGCTTCTGGGTAATATGGATAAGTGCCAAAGAATGTATTGCGTTGTCCAGAAAGATTTTGCAGATTATTGGCAAGTGATGTATAGATAGGTCTGAATCTATTAGAATGGTAAAAACTAAATGACACGAGTACATATCCTAAAAGAAGAGCCATCAGGCATATTTGAAAAAAGTTTGGTTAAGATACGTTAAATTCTTCTCAACACAGGATTATAGTGCACGAGTGACATTGTACGTAATCTAGCATACTATAGTTTGTCACTCTCACAGGAAGGCAATCCGATATGACAGGAGAGAGATCTGTTACAACTACAGAGAGTAATGCTACTGAGACCTGGGTTATGAATGACACGATCAAACAAGGAAGCACATAATCAGCAGTCGAGCTTACGGCCACTAAACCACCCACGTTTATGGGGTCGCATTATCCAATTATCTTTAGGTGGGCTGTGGATTCTTGTGTGATAATACCTATATATACGTTCACGCTCTCACAGAATACCAGTGTAAAATAGAAACTTAATGCTGCTGTGTTCCTTAAGGTGAGTGTAGAGAACCGCAGATCCAATTTAACTACGAGTCATTCTATTTCAGTCTTCTGGAGTAAAAAGGATTAATAGTAGTTACATATATACATATATATATATATATATATATATATATATATATATAATAATCGATAATAAATTTAGATGTGTGTTGGCCATAGCATCCACTTACAATCAGGTGGTTCTGTCTTCATTTGTCATATTTATCTATAAAAATACCGACCTGTCACAATGAGTATATCGACCTGCCAGGCCTCAGCCAGCACCATCCACGCGCCCAGCGGTGCGTTGTGGCGCGGCGAGTACACGCGGTGGACTTCACTTGTGTAGAGAGAGAGAGGCATAACATCACAGTGAGTATACCGGCCTGCCAGGCCTCTGCCGGCACAATCCACACGTCCAGTAGTGCGTTATGGCGCGGCGAGTACATGCGGTGCACTTCATTAGTGTAAAGAGAGAGAGAGAGGCATCACATCACAGTGAGAATACCGACCTGCCAGGCCTCAGCCAGCACCATCCACGCGCCCAGCGGTGCGTTGTGGCGCGGCGAGTACACGCGGTGCATTTCACTTGTGTAGAGAGAAAGGCATCATATCACAGTGAGAATACCGACCTGCCAGGCCTCAGCCAGCACCATCCACGCGCCCAGCGGTGCGTTGTGGCGCGGCGAGTACACGCGGTGCACGACGTGCTGCAGCAGTGCGCCGCGCGGCGTTATCGACTGCACCACCAGCAGGGCGCCCAGTGCGCTCTTGAACCACAGCCTCACGTGGCTCGGACCGATCTGACCATAGATTTAATTAAAACTGACTTTAGAATAGATTGGCAATGCAAGAGAGAAACAGCATACTCTGTAATGTCGGGAGGTTCGGGGAATAAATAATACGTCTACTGGTCTTGAATGTAGGTTTATTACTGACCCAATGTTTATTAGGCTATCATATATATATAGCTACATGAGCATACACTACACACACACTACACGCCCATCGGCAAAAAGAAAAAAAAATTGAATTACAAAAAAATTTTTTTTTTCAATCAATTACAATTTGGTGTAAAAATAAAAAAAAATTGTACATTATTTTAAAATATTAAAATTCGTATACCTACTATATTATATAAAATTAAAATAAAATAGTAAACACCATAATTTAAATAAATATAACTTTCTGTCTCCGTATTTAAATTTTTTAAACAATCATCAAATTCCTTACGTAATTGTATTGAATCTTTAAGTTTTTGTTGTGAAATAATTTTAGTTCGCCTATCATTACTGCATAACTTTCAAAATTTTCATATTATATAACTATTAATTCACTAGACTGAAAATACAGTTTTTAAAACAAAATTATAGTTATCCAAAACATTATAAGGTGTTTATAATTTTTTTTATATTCTTAACTTAAACTATATTATTCATTTTAAATCTTAACAAATCTATAAGAAGCTAATGCCATTGAAATAGTATCCTTACTTTTAAGTGGATAAACTTCAGCATACTTATTTAAATCACACTGTGAGTGTGTCAGTATATAAACATTACTAGCACTATGCTTACATAAGGGCCCTACTAAATCTAAATAAACTCTATGAAAAGTGGAATATCCCATAAATCGGTTATAACCATTGGTTCCTTTATATATTTATTTAAGTGTTTAAATCACAAACATTTGTCTCATCGATTTACATAATTAGTAGGATGTTACTAATTATGTATATTATATAGTCTCTAACTCTGGTCAAAGGAACCTTTTCTTTGTATTGTTTATGATCGTCGATGTCGTTTAATATTACATGTTTTGTCACACGGCGGTCCTAGTGCAACATAATCAGAATTATTAACATAACAACAGGGATCAAATACAACTTACAATCTCGGCCGCGTAAGCGGTTGGTGAACACCTTTGTTTTAATTTCTAAGTATGTTCATGGGAACGTTTTTCGATTACGTTGTATAATGGTACCTAGTTTTAACCATGCATTAACATTATATCGTAAATGAAATGAATTTAACTTTCCCAATAGTTTGTACCTCTAAATATAGATTGTTACATTCAATTTTAAATTCATTTTGTAAAAGTTTTTTTTTACATAGGTACATTAACAAAAAATCATTAATTAAGTTATTTATAAATTCGAAAACTCATTTTTTCATGACATGAAATTTATATAAAAAAAGAAAACACTACTAGGTACACAGCTTAAGTTTGTTTTACGAAATATTTATTAACATTGAAAAAGGCAATTTTATTTCAAACAGATAACATTATTTTTGGCTCCGTTGTCATTTCTAAAGAAAAAACGTAAAAAGAATACTATTACATTAATAAATTTATAGTAATAGTGTATCGATATACTCTGGACTTTATTTTATAAGCAAAATGTAAACCAAATATAGTTTAAAATGTACAAATTTTACATAAAAACATATGACAAAAAAATTCTACAAGATTTGTAGTAAATATGAATCAATGTGCCTAAAATATGAAAAAAAATATCTCGTAAATTCATATACAAATGTGGTTAAACAATTACGCACACAATACATACACACACAACACATTTTCGCGTAGTTGTTTAAATCGATCCCTATAGTTATTACATGTGTAACTCGTTAGTCGCATTTTGGGTAGCATTAATAGTCCTAATACAGAAATGCAAAATAATGGTGCTAAACGAGCGACAAAGCCGAAAAAATAGACTCGGCTCCTCGCCGTATGGTAGCGGCGTAAAATCTACCACCACCCCTTGTTCGAATGACTCAGGAAATAAAAGAAATGGCCCCGAGTTCCCGGCGCCCCTTAAATGGGGCAGGGGTGCGAAGAATCTCCGGGAGAAAAACCGGCGACGAGGTTCGCCACCCGTCACGTTCTGTCTCCCGGAGGGGCGAAAAGTGGATTGCGGAAACCCGTCTGGCTACGCTGAATGTATGTGGAGGAATGAATGATAAGATGGATGAAGTATGCGAAATGATGAATGACAGAGGAATAGATGTGTTATGTGTGAATGAGACGAAACGAAAGGGAAAGGATGCCACTGCACATGGCACGTATACCGCGTATTTGAGCAGAGAAAAAAGAAGGCCGCCACCAACACACCATGGGACATGGTAAGGATGGTGTTGACAAAATGTAAGGAAAATGAAAATATTATTATGTTAGGAGACTTTAATGGAAGGGTTGGGGTGAAGAGGTCTGTTTATGAAAGGATATTGGGAACGTTTGGTGATGAAAGTATAAATGAGAATGGTGAAGACCTCCTCACCGTATGTGCGGAAAAGAATCTTTTTGTGACGAATACTTTTTTTCGTCATAAGAAGATTCACATGTATACATGGGAAAGAGGTGATGATAGAAGCATGATAGATTTCGTAATTGTGGATGAAAGAATGAGGAGCGCAGTCGTAGATACAAGGGTTTACCGGGGGTCCAACGTAGGGACGGATCATTACTTGGTCTTATGTCGAATTAATGGTCTTTTCAAGCGTTGGCGGCATCGGACATCTGTGTCTACCACTGCGTTACAGCGTATAAGAATAGAGAAGTTACAAGATGAAGATGTGAAAGAGAAGTATAAATGTAGACTGAGAGAAAATATTAGATGTTTGAATGAGTTGTGTATGAATGATTTAGACTTGAAGACTGTGTGGGATAATATTAAGAAAGGTTTGGTGGATACCGCCACCGAAGTATGTGGTGTAAGTAAAAGAACAAATGAAAGGAAAAGTAATACGTTGTGGTGGGATGATGAGGTACGGGTGGAAGTTGAATCAAAGAAGAAAGCATGGTTAGATTTACTAGCAACCAAAGCTGGTAATTCTTCTGGTATGAATGATGAGATTGAAAGAAAAAAGGCAGAATTTAGACGTCTAAATAAGAGAGTAAAAGAAGTTGTTGAAAGGAAAAAGAAAGAAAGAATGGATAAGAATGATAGAAGGATATCTGATAATTTCCAGGCTAACATAAAAATGTTCTGGAAACTCGTAAGAACTGCCAGGGGAAATACAAAACAGCCTATAATAAATGCTATAAGAGACGAGAATGGATGTATTCTGAATGATGAAGTTTCGAATTTAAACAGATGGAAGGAATACTTTGAAAGCGTGTTTATGAGTGAAGAGTCGTATGAATTAAATGAACTAGAAATTCCGAAAGAAGTGGAAAGGGGTATGGAGATAAGTGTAGATGAAATAATGAAAGCAATGAAAAGCATGAAAGCAGGTAAGGCAGCTGGATATGGTAGAGTATCACTCGAGATGCTAAGGGCTGGAGAGGGAGTGGTGGCAGGCCTGCTGTACACCTTGTTTAATTTATGTTGGGAATTAAAACGGGTACCGGATGACTGGTGTAAAGCAGTTATAGTACCAATATATAAAGGAAAAGGGTCACAGCAGGACTGCAAAAACTACCGCGGTATCAGCTTCTTGAGGCTTAGTATTGTGGGTAAACTGTATGCTAAGGTGTTAATTGAAAGAGTTATGAAAGAAACTGATGGAAAAATTTGGGATGTGCAAGCGGGTTTTAGAAAAGGGAATGGGGTGCACAGATCAAGTCTTTTCCATGCGCATGATTGCGGAGAAGTTTTTGGCCAAAAACCAGAAAGTTTTTTGTGCGTTCATGGACTTGGAAAAGGCTTATGACAGAGTGGACAGGAATGTGTTATGGCAAACACTGAACTCATATGGGTTGAGCGCTGGTTTGATACAGGCATTAGGGTCTCTTTATAGGGACTCTAGTGCTTGTGTCAGGATCAATGGGGTCTACTCGGACTGGTTTGGCATCCAAAAAGGTGTCAGACAGGGCTGTGTAGCTTCCCCTTGGCTGTTCAACCTATTTATGGACCGGTGTTTGCAAACTTTGAAAGATGAAGAATGTGGTTTAAGAATGGGCGAGTTAACCGTCAAATGCCTTTTGTATGCCGATGATCAAGTCATACTTGCGTCATCGGCGGCTGAGTTGCAAATGATGGTTACATTAATGAACTGGGAATTAAAAGAAAGGGGAATGAAAGTGAACGCAAGTAAGACGAAAGTGATGGTTTTTGAAAGAGAAGAAAGCAAAACGGTATGTGAAATAAGAATAGAAGGAGAGTTAATTGAGCAAGTGGATGAGTTTGTGTATTTGGGATGTGTATTTAGCAGGGATGGTAGATATGATAGGGATATAGAACGACGAGTAAATGCGAGGAATAGAGTGAATGGGGCACTACACTCTATTATGAAGAACCAGAATGTGTCAAAACAGGCACGTATGGTAATTCATAATGCTGTGTTAGTCCCTACGTTAATGTATGGTAGTGAAAGCTGGGTATGGCAGAAGAAGCACGAAAGTAGAATAAATGCTGTAGAAATGCGGTCTTTAAGAAATATGCTAGGGTTTAATCTGAATGACAGGGTGAGAAATTGCGTGATAAGAGATAAATGTGGTATGCAAGATGATGTTGTGACCAGGATTAAGAAAGGAATGCTTCGGTGGTTTGGTCACGTAGAAAGAATGAATGATGAAAGAGTGACAAAGCAAATTTATATGGCAGATGTGAACGGCCGAGTCGGGAAGGGACGCCCTAGAAAAAAGTTTGTCGACCAAATTGGCGATATTTTGAAAATGGGCCACGTTAGAAGTACCCTTAACCGACGAGCATGTATGCGTAGATATATGGATGTAAAGGAGGCGAAAGAGGTATGTCAGGATCGTGCCAAATGGAAGTCCGTAATCTCTGCCTACCCCTCTGGGTGACAGGCGTGAGTGTTTATGTTATGTTATGTAATAGTCCTAATACAGAAAT